TGAGTCAACAAAGCTTTCAGATGTAGGTCTTGGCAAATGATGCATCCGTTAGAGATCATTGCCTCTTTTCAGCCTCTGAGCGCAAGGTCTGGGAGGTGCAGGGGCCAGTGCCGATGCTATTCTCCTGGACCTCTCCCTGAAAACTACGCCAGTTCCTACGGCTTCTTTTCCAGCCTGCCATGGGCAGTATGGTTTATGTCCAGGGCCAAATGGAACGAATGACTACAGGGCGGCTGAGCGCTAATGCCTGTGCATGCGTGCTCGCCCAGGAAATGAATGCCACAGTCATTTTGGTCTATCTGCAGCCAGAGTCCAATTATCCAGATGGGAAGGTTCCAGAGCAACAGAGAGGGGGGGTTCCTTTCCCAACTGGTAAAGAAATGATGTTAGGAAAAGTCTGGGGAGATCAGCAAGCCATAGACAAAATAGGGCCACAGTGTTTAGTCCGTCGGAGGGGGTCTCAGCCGTCAACCAGAATCTGCAGTTTGGAACCAGTGGGTCTCATTAAAGGGTATCCCTCCTGGCTGGTTCCTCCCTCCGCCTTCCCCATCCCTCCCACATGTGTGGTTTGCCCAATTCCATCTCCCGATTCCTCCTCCACCATCCTTATTGGAACCATGATGCTTGGCGAGCACGTCAAGATTTGGAAGTTTCAGGCGGTGGGTTTGTGTGTGTGTGCACTTGCTTGTTTAAGATTTAAGGAGTCTTGGTCTGTGTACTGTCATTGATCACTAGAGACAACTGGTGACGGCTATTTCCTCTTTTCTCTCCAGCAAATTTAAATAAATGCAACATGCCATTTCAAAGAAATTATAATAAAGGTAGATTCATCCAAATGATGTTAGATAAAATGCTAAGCAAAAGCCTTATTTCCCACACTGAGCAGAAATGTCCATGCCCAGACCAGCCCCCTAGAAGTTGAGGTGTCCCCTTTGGCTGCCTTAAATGTTCCTCCCCTCCCACTGAATGCAGGAAAACTCAGCTGGGTGTGGAGGGTAAGTATAGCCTGAACCCAAGAAGATTTGTTTGTGGCCAGAGCAGGAAGACATAGTATAAAACCAAATAAGGGATCAGGGGAAAAAAATTTTTAAAAAAATTAACAGGCAACTATAAATCAGAGACATTCTGTGGGGGAAGGGAGGGAGAGGGATCAAAACAGGGGAGGGCAGAGCACAAGGGACTGTGGAGATGGTGCACGGGTGAAGTGGTGGTGGGAATTCTACGGGGACTACACCTGAGAGGAGACAGCAAACATTGTACAAAAATGAACAATGATGTAAAATATATATACATAAATTTAAATTTTTAAAAAAGCAGAACAAAGCTATAAATAAGCATGAATCCTTCCCTGGTTTTTGCCTAAAGCCTGCCATTAGCTGTAAAGAAGTTTCCTTATGTGAGCAGGCGGGTTGTAGGCTTGTGTGTTCCAAAAGGCTTCTGAGCAGAAATTCCTCCGGGACCCTGTTTGTCTGTTGCACCACAGTCACATGAGCCACACTAAGGAGCTGTAATGGATCCCAAAGAACCCTAGGGTCTGGGTCGTGTTTCAAGACCATCACACAAGGGTCACATCCTGACTGGGCCTCCGGCCCTATCACTGCCCAACTCACCAGAAGATTTGAAAAGTTGAAGATTGCAGACCCCCTTTGGCTTTGCCCCTCATCTGCAGGCATTTGGGGTGGGGGATGGGGAAGCCCCTCCCCTCCCCCTCTGCATCTTGAATGTACCCGCACTGAACCTGGGGAGAGCTGGTCATAAAAACAAGCCTTGTTATCTGTTTGTGTGGTCTCACCACTGAGTTATTTTGCACAGAAGTCAAATGTTATGGGAGTTATTTTTCTCCTTTAATGAGCAAGCACAGGGTTGAAGGATTTGAGGCCAAGTGCATCCTAGAATCTGAAAATGATTTCTTAATTGAAGTTGTTTTTCTTTCTCTGAAGAACACCTTTAGGTGATGGCGTGCGGCTGTAATCTTATTTTACAGCTGAATCCCTTTTATAATCAGCATATATATATATTTTTGACAGTGTGATTTGCCTTCAGTGCAGGATCATTTGCTTAGAGAAAAAAAAATGAACTCAATCTATGAGCTCTGAAGGTCTTGGTCCAGCAACATGCCAGCAGGTCGAATTCTCCCCTGCCGGTTGCCCTGTGCACGGTTGTTGACTGACTACACGATCTGGTCTGAACGTTATGACAATATATCCTCTCCTTTAGAAAAGCACAGAAATGTCTTTAACGGTATGTGAAGCAAAGAACTGGCTGTGGGCCACAGTGATACAGACATCGAGCAGCAGGTTAAATTCCCAAGAGAGCATCAATTACCAAGTTAAATGCAGTTTCTATTTCTAGCTAGATTGCCAAAGAATGGGATAATGCCACACGCTTTCAAAGGGAACTAGTTTTAATTGATCACCCTATAGTCCTTAAGTCCAAATGAGCCCCATTCTGATTCCCCTTGAGCCTTTTCCTGACTTATCTTGGAGGGGGACCCCTAATTCCAAATCAATCTAAAAATGTGGGCGAAGAGGCTTCAGTGGATTGTAGAGTCAAATGAGCGGCACTCTTTGTATGGACCTAATCACAACGGGAGGCTTTCGTAAATTCTCTAACTGCTCTAGTTAAAACTGAGGATGTATTTAGGAAATTATCATCCCCCATGCCCTGGGCCTAACTTTTAAAATTCTACTGTGTCATGCAGCTACTCAGGAAGTAACCTTGGAAGCAAAGCTAATTACCTTCCAGTCTATGCTCTTGACATGGAAATCTTGTAAAAAAAAAAAAAAATGCGTGAGTGAGAAGATTCTTGAGGGCCTGGCTTGTTCTAGATGGCGTGTGCACTAAAGGGACAAGTTTTTCAAGTGTCCCACATAGTCCTGACCCGGTGGGCCTTCTCCCTTCACTCAGCCTCTACACAGTATGGGGGAGTCCCACACCAGGGAGGTGAGGTGGGAGAGGTGGTTGGTGGGGGCACTGTTTTAAGTAAGGTGATTACCTAGGTGAATGTGCTATGTTCCAGCACAGGTGCTCTGTGCCCAGAGACACCCCCTGCCCACCCCCCAGCAGAGTATCCGAGGGCGGTGCCATTTCCAGCACTTGCACTAAAAACTGGCCACCATACCCTGTGCTCTAATAACCCAAACCAGTGTCGTACCTTGTCCCTGCAAAGCTGCATAGTGGTTGGTTGGTGGCAGACCTGTAAGGTAACTGTTGACTGTTTCAATGTGATATATGGGTTTTTAAAGAGCCATTTAGCATGAAATGTAAATTTTTTTTAAATCATAACCTCATTGAAAATAATCTGTCTTTTCTTATATTAAATATGTTGTCCAACTAATGATAATATAGAACTTGTTAAATTTCCTTTACCCTGAATTTGAACCTGATCAAGATAAAATATATATAAATTTAAAACCAAAAAATCCACTGAATGTATCTAATGATTCTGGTCTGTATTATGCTGCAAATTTGACATGGGAAGCTGCATTACAGCATGAACGCAGTTTTTACAACATTAAACTAGATTTTAATTTTGAAACTGAACAGGGATCATTTATATATAAATAAAGGGAGCACAGGTAAATCCCATCAACTACCCAACCACCCTAATTAGGAAGGGGTGCAGTGGCTTGGGCAACACCACCCCGTATTATTTGGGACCTGCTCTGCAGACAGGTGACTAGGGGGGCATATCCTGTTCTCATTGCTCCTCCTGGCCCATATGTCGCTGTTCGCCTTTATCACCAGGCTAAGCCACCCCCATCGAGACGTCTGGGACTCACCAGCTAGATGGGCCCCCCTTCAGGAAAACCTAAACTCATCAGGCACCTCTGAATGTGCAGTGTCTCATGTGTGCAACAATGGTCCTGCTTTTGGAAGCCAATCTCTACCAAACAGAAGAGCCAAGGACTCCCTTATGCTTGGGGGTGGGGGGTTTAGAAGTACATCTGATTTTCTTTTTTAATGACTGCCCTGAAGCAAAGGTAAAATTCATGGTGTTGGTGTCTCGGTCTACCAGGTTGGCAACACACTTGCCTATAAGGCAGTGTGGTCTTGAGAACCTGGTCCTTCGAATCTTCATATTGTGCAGTTCCCCGGGGAACCTTGGGCAAGATTAAGATTCCAGAGGGTCCTGGGTTGATGCTTTTTGCTTATGATCCTGTTGGCCATTGTTTGAGTTTCCTAGATGCCCTCCATCTTAGCAGAAGGGGACACATTTCCTCTGTCTTTAGGCAGCTCGGACTGGTCTGCCCCTCTCTTTGGTTCTCATTGCTCAGTTTCATTTTATTGTGTCTTGTAATGAACTCTATTCTTTCTGGGTGGAGGGAATTTCTGAGCCCGTATGGAAGAAAAATACACTCACCATGAAGGCCCTCCTTGGAGGAGGAATATCAGCGATACCTACTTTCTCTGGCAATATTTCACATTATTTGCAACTAATCAGCCATGGTTTTGTCCAGGGCACCCAATAATTCAGAATGAGAAGCCTCCACGTGGGCAATGTGAGATTTCACTGGCTTTCATATCTCATTTCTCTCCATGTAGGGGAACGTGTAGCTATCTGAAGATAGGAAAATTAATTTAGTCTAGATTCACATTTTACATTTACTCAGACATCTATCTGAACTCATAAAAAGTTTATTGACATAAGTTAGAAGGTGAAGAACTAAAATACATTTCAAATATTGACCAAAATAGTGTGGGAAGTAGCTTAGAGAACATTCCATCAAAATCGTTGTTATACATGCTTGCCCTATCCGTTTCCTTACACTCATATCCCTCCTCCATATCACACTTTCCAACTGGTGAATTCTTGAGCTGATTTGTTCTGCAAGGTACCAAACACGAGGATCAGTTAGAGTAAGAAATGAAACCAACTAGAAGGAAGAGATATAAATGTACAAACAGATCTTTCTGCCAGTCTCAGGCACTCAACATTCAGTAGCTTCATAATCTACATACAAATATATAAAAATTTTAGTGAGCTATTTTCATTTGAATCCATTCTTTTCCTCTTCAATTCTTCACATCAAGCCTGCAAAAGAAAAATGAAAGAGACCATTAGTGGTTTTTATGAGATATTTTTAGGGACTACTTGTAAATCAGTATGATACGTACAAGTCATTTTCACATGGAAACTTCTCTGGATTCCATGAATGTAAAGTGGACTATGAGTAGAAGATGTAACCATCAACTTTGGCTCTGGTGATTTAAGTAATTCCAAACTAAATAAATATGGCTTCCTTCTAAGGTATTAACGTTTAATACTAACCTTATGATTTACAACTTGATTTACAAGTTGTAAGACCTTTGGTATCTGTGGTAAATTTGCATTCATGGCTCCACTTCCCTCCTCTCCTGTGTCCATCCCCACTGCCATTGTGGGGAGCATATGATTCCTCCTGTCTGGATTTGGCCACATGACTTGGCTTCGGGCAACAGAATGGAGCAGAAGCGATGGTTATGCTGGTTCTGAAGCTAAGCCTAGGTTTCCAGGGAGTACACCTGGGTTTACTCTCTTGCACCTTTGCCATTGCCATAGGCAAGGCATACCCAAACTCACCTACTGATGCCGGGAGAAGCATGAGGTGCTCGTGGGGCAGAGCCACCCAGCTAACCAGCCCAGGGAGGCCCCATCTAGAGCAGAGCCTCGGCTAACGCAGATGGTTAAGTGAGCCCAGCCTAGATCAGCGGAGCCCAAACACGTGAGCCAGAATAAGAAATGATTTTGCTTAAAGACACTGCCTTTGGGGATGGTTTGTTACGCAGGAATAGCTAATTGATTGTGGTGCCATTTCTTTTAAAAGGACTTATACAGCAGAGATCACTGAACATTATTTACGTATTTTTGTCCATTATTCTTTAGTGGCGTTCCTTGCGTGTTTTACTTAAGTGAATGGACTGACTTTTCGAAGAAATAGAAGGCTCACATTTTCTCTTAAGTAATGGCTGAAGAAAGAAAACTCCACAGACAAGGGGCCCCTCGCCCTTGCTATTCAGATACTGTGGCTTGGCTCTCCTCGTCTCCCTCTGCCACAACCACCTCCTCGTTGCTGTCCTCCACTTTAGAGGCTGGTGGGCAGATACTCTTATGGGTAGGGGTAGCCATGTGACCCAGTTCTGGCCAAGGAACCCCAAGAAGAATTCTGCAACAGAGGTTTCCAGAAAGGTTTGCTTTCCTGCATCTTCCTTTCTGTTGCAAAGCCCATGGTGTCAGCCTTTATAGCGTTGCTGTCGTGCGTTTGTGTTACACTCATTGTGTTAAACCTCAGTGAAACACATAGAGGTTTGAAAAGCCAAGTGAGTAGCTCAAAGTCTCACCACTGCTCCACAGAAAAGCTAGGGTTTCAACCCTGGTGTCCGGACTGTGGGGCTCTTTCCACTCCAGCAACAGGGAAGGTTTGAATGGATTTTGAACCAGAGAGACCGGTAGGAAGGCCTTAATGACTGCGAAACTGAGAACACTGTCAACAGCAGTCCACATAGACTCGCCTATTTCTCTAGCATTTTTTAAAAAAAATGGACTCTCTGTCTGTACCAGTCACCAAGAGGAAGCAAGATACTACCTCCTTCCCAGAGCAGGACTTCCAGGCGAAATGGATTTTGCTGCCCAGCAACTTCCCAGCCACACCTCGGCCCACCATGCTGGTCCTCTCTGCGCACCTCCCTCACACACGCGGCTCTCTGAGTTTGCCCCACACGTTTGCTCCTGCTACGTGCCGGGGGCCTTCAGGCCTCTCCCGCTTTGCTGATGACTTTGGACTAAAGTCTTCCCACCCCACCGCCCCCCTAGCAGGCTGCACGGTAAGTGTTTGCCTATAGGCAGCTTCCAGCTCCTCTCCCACCACAGCTGCCCGGCCAGTAGGCCGTGACCTTGGGAAAGGTCAAACACGCCCCGCTCACATTCACACCCCATTGCCTCTCATGGCACCTGACTCGTAGCAGAGGCCTGAGGATTGAGGAGTTGGGCCCCCAGAGAAGTGGATACAGGACAAGGGGAGTTGGAGTTGCAGCCAGTTCGAGGCAGGTGAAACGAGTGAGCGGCCACAGATGCAGCGCCCAGGAGTGCTGATTTGATGTGCTGGGTCTCTCCTGTACTGGGTCTGCCCCAGGCCCACCCCCCCACAGCCCCCTCTTGGCCATGTACTGCTGTGGTCCCTGTCCTGGTGACATACGGCCAGTCTCACTGGCGAAATGAGAGACCCATGACAAGCTGACCTTGAAGCTGAGACATTCCTTGGGCTTCTCAGAACAGCATGGAAGGGGTGATGATTCATAGCAAATTGTCACTGAAGCCTGTTCTATGAGGTGTGATTTCTGTCCGAGAAGAGTCCAGACTGTGAAGCACCATCTGCAGCCTGCGTTCTGTGACAGGCTTGTTGTGGACTTTGATCACAAGGTGCTGTCCCCGGAGAAAATGGGGCCAGGCCGAGAACTATAGGCTGAGCCATTGGCAATGACCTCCAGTGACTGAAAGCCCCACGAGCCCCCTCATGACTAGGTTCGCCCATGGACCTTTCTGACTCTGAGCTGCTTTGGAAACACAAGGAAACCTTATCTATCCACTTTGCTCAGACCACTGCGGCTACTGATGTGGCCATCTTAGAAAAGTCACTGCATGGAATTCTTGATAAGCCCTAACCCAAGGGGAACTGCACTCTTTCCCTTTACTCACTGCTCCTTGAGCCAAGGGCAACTTGGGAAACTGATTGAGAAGGGGGAGACTGTGCCATTGGCCTGTGTTTCACGTGGAGGCAGAGAAGCAGCTGATGGTGATGGTGTGGATTTTGAGCGCCTGCTGTGTGCCAGGCACACCACCACTGATTTTACAATGACCTTGTTCACTCTACAAAGTGAACCTGATTCGGGGCCTCCCTGGTGGCGCAAGGCATTAAGACGCAGCGCTATGAAGCTATCCACAGCCACTGCTGCTAGAGTTCGATCCCCGGCCAGGGAGCTGCCCACATGGCACAGTAGACCTCTCCTGACGTGACTGCTGCTCCCCTCGGCAGTGTATTTCAGTAGCCTGTTCTGCTCCTCACTCTGTCTCTGGTGAATCCTCTTACCACCCCCCTTCTCCCGCCTGCACCCCAGCTCTTGTATGCATAAATAAACAAATCTAAAAAAAAAAAAAAAAGTGAAACTGATTCTTCCAGCCAGGAGGCCACATGCAGACCAGAGGAGCCTCCGCAGTGTTTCTGTAAGACACCCTCTCCCTCCTGGGTGCAACTATAATCCAAGAAGGTCCAGCAACACAGGACACTGCTTATGGCCAGAGGCCCAGAGTCCATCCTCGGTCTTGTAGGACTTGTGTTCTCAGGATGCCCGTATGGATTGTTTTTGTGGGGGTTTTTTTGGGGGGGAGGGGGTTGTTTTGTTGTGTTTTCTTTGAGGTAACATTAGTTGACAACTCCGCATGTGATTCAGAGCTATAGGCTCAACTCCTCTTCAGATGTATGTTGCCACACACCCGCCACCCACAGTCCACCGGGCCCTCTTCCCGCTTTGCTTCCACCCGCCCTGTCTGGGAGCCTCAGTTCTACAGTTCAGACTTCTAGGGTTTGTTTCTGATTTAGTTTTGTTTGACCCTTTGTTCTGTTTCACCACATATAGGTGAACCATCCAGTGTTTGTCTGTGTCCCTCCGACTTATCTCTCTTTGCATAATCCCCTCCACCTTCACCCGTGTTGTCAGGCTGCCCCTGTGTTCCCAGAATCCAGGAATCCAGCAACCTGGGACAGAGCTCAAATTCAGAAACGGGAACACCAGGAAGGGCTCCAGAGCTAGAAGTGCCCCTGATGTAAAGTACACTTGTTTGTGGGGCTGTTGGAATGCAAGTGTGTTGGGTGGGATCTGGGCCACATGGCTTTGCTGCCTGGGCAGCAGCTGTCAGCTCTTCTCCTGTGTCTTGCTGTCCTGCGTTTTGAGAACTATGGGAAATGTGAGGCATCCTGCCCAAAAGTCACTCTCAGCTGCACACCTTTTGTACCCAAATCAAACAACACACTTTTAGCGCCCAACTTCGGTTTACATGTCGGAGAGGCACAGCTTGGCTGGCACAGGGGTGATACACCGAGTGTCTCTCTTGTGTCACCCCAAGTCCAGGCTGAGGAGCATGTGATGTTTACACCTCGCCATGACCCATTTATAGCTGTGTTACTCATAGTCGCCGCAGCCCCACAGGCATCATTTAGGAAATGGAGTCCACTCAACACTTCTCTGCATTTGTTCCTTTAACCAGACACTCAGGGTGGTGCCGTGATCACCTCCGCTGTGTGGTGCTAAATCACAGAACCATAAACACAGCAACACTCAGAAGCAGTCAGGAGACAGGCCGTGCCTCAGCTTACCTCCAGCTCCATACACACGGCTGACCGTGCACTCAGAGCAAACTGCTTGAAGCTCTGGAGTTGGCTAGAGGGCATCAAGATAAGAAAAAATGCTGGCACCTGTGGCATCGTCTAGAGCCTATGTTCACACATGATGCCCGACATTCACCCAGGGCTCCGGCACTACCTCACGCACGCAGGTCAGGGAGCCTGGACGTGCGCAGTCTGCGAACCGCCGGGACATGCATGCCCAGAACTCTCTCCTTTCCCCCAAACGACCACCGAGTAAATGAAAGAAACAAAACTCTAAGTAAAGACTTGAGAAATTTGTTTCTGAAACTATAACACTTTCACCCAAATTGACTTTTTTGTATCACGAAACGTTCGGTGGATGACGTGAACTCCGAAATGTTTCCAGCAATAATTAGGACAGTAAGGTGAGAAGGGCGCCAGCAGCAGAATTGTTTTTTAAAGTCTGCACCTGGAATCAAATTCGTGAAGTGTTCGTGCTGGATGTGGAGCATCTGAGTGACCTTCAAGAAAAGGCAAATGGCAAGTCCAGCTCAAATAAGTGGAAGGGGGTTTTTAAATCCTCTTGCACTGAGAGTTTGTTGTATTGGCTATTGAGGCGTGGAGCGGGGGCTGGCACTTAAGACAACACTGAATTTGTTTGGAGACGTGATGGAGCAAGGGGCATGATCCAACA